AAAAGTAACATGTTCTATTTATAAGACTCTTGATCTTGTGATTTCTATTTGCAAGTTAATTATAGAAATAAATTAGGTAATTATTATAAAATAAAATGTTCTTAAATAGGGTATTTAATGTATAACAACTAATTTGAGCAAGTTTGTAATAAGGTAATAAATGCAAATTATAAAATATATTATTTTTATTTTTTATTAAAATACTAAAGTTACAACATCTAATATACTAATAAACTTTAGAAAAGGAAGGTTGTTGGGGTCAAGTGATTAGGGGTAAGGAGTGCATTGATGAAATTTAAGATTCAAATTCTTTAATTACCATTTGGATGCAAAAATTCTAAAGAGCAATGCCCACTACCCATGAATGTTTGCCTAAAAGTATCCGTGGATAAGACAATTTATAGATGCTCGTGGGACTAGTCAAACCATAGTTTTGGATACCCATACTATTAACAAATAAAGTAGACTCTACAAAAGGAAAATTGCTAGCTACTCTTGACTTGTGCATTCTTTTATGGAAAGAAAATATAACTTGCAAATCTTTTATGGAAAGATGATGTATTGTTAATGTAATACCATTTAAAATTTAACCTTATCTCTACAAATTAGCAATGCAACCCAACATATCAATTTCTCAATTTAATCCTAAATATTCATATATATATATACATGATTCACTAAACAACTACCTCAATTGTTTACCATTCACATTTCTCCTCATATATATACACCCAAACACACTCATTTCTCATCTTTTCTTGTCTTGTTCTCCTCTTAATCTCTTAATCTTCTAGTACATTTCTTTCTTGCTTAAGGAGGTCAAACTACTCTTTAATATGGCAGCCCAATTGGTTTACTCAGAGTCATCATCTTCGTCGTCCTCAGAGAAAGGTTTAAATAGGAACCTTGATTATGGGACAATATCCATCAAAGGGCATTCGCCTAATATGAATGATAGATGATTTGTGAAGGAAGTCTTTTGCCAACCAAATATTATGGATGGCTTGCTTCTACATTTCTTTGCTGTGTATGACAGCCACGGTAGCTATCATGTAATCTTCTCTTCCTTTGGTGTCTGTTGGGATTTGTTTTATCTCTCTTTATTTCTTACATAAAAAACGCATAGGTATCCTCGATTTGTAAGGATATGATGCATGCTATTATAGCAAAGGGGTTGATGCACGTGTAGACTCATCAACAAGGCTTGGATAAAAAGGTTTGGGAGGATCTAATACAAAAAGCCTTAAAAAATTGCTTTCTAAGGATGCATCAAGTTGCATTGGGTATTTGTTCTTGTGTTGGGACATCATACATGTGTAGATGTCAGTCGATTTTGGGTAGATTTTCAAGGTCTACTGCCAACATAGCACTCCTTTCAACGCGCCACATTATCATTGCCAAGAGCAATGCTAGGGCACTCGCCTCCTGCAATCTCCGGCCAACACTTTCTCTTTTATTGGGTCACGTTATGTTGGTTTCGGAGAGGTTGTGCCTGAAAGCTTTTAAAGAAGCTTACGTGGCCCAATGAAAGGGGAAGTGTCGGCCAGAGAGTTCAAAAAGCGAGTGCCCCTAGCACTGCTCTCATTGCCAATTGTGGAGTCTCACGTGCTATTTTGTGGCGAGCCATTTCACTATCTCGTTATCATAAGGTTTCTTTATTTTATTAAGATATATTTTTTCTTTGGTGTTTGGTAAAGGTTTTTTTTGTTTTTTTTGTTTTTTTTTTTTGTTTTGTATTTTAATAATCCTCGTTATTGATTTTTTCATTAGCATAAATCTTACTTTCAAACAAAATCCATAAAATAAAAAAAAAATCACTATATAGTCTCTCAATAAAAAAAATAATAAATTTTCTGTCTTCTTTATTCTCTTACTTTTCCTTTTTAAAGTTGTTGGCTTTTTATTATCCTTTTTTTTTTTGTGTATTTTCTTTTTAAATTGCCTAATTGTTTTCTTAATTTTCTTTTCCTTCACTACGTGCAGCCAAACAGGCAAGATGAATTAGAGAGCATTTATGCCACTGGGGTAAACTTATAAATAAAGACGGGTTTTGTGTCAATGGTATACTCAACACCATGCGATATGTAGTGTTATTGATTTATATATTCTTTATTTAGTTAAGGTTATAGATCTTTAACCATATGATGATCACCTCACTGTTGCTAAGAGCCCCATTTTTTTGTTTTTGTTAAAGAATTTATTAGGTAAGGAGCTCTACATGCCTAATGATTGTTTAAAGAACTTAGAGTTTGTTGCATCTATAAATTTTATATTTAAACAATTTGAGTTATAAGATTAGTTGGTTGTATTTAGATTATATTGAAAAGTTTCTACTGGTCCTGTTATCTTTCGATATATTACTTACGTGGCTGAGCATAATTTTGTTATTCTATTTGGCATTTACAAGTAGGCTTAGCTGAATTTGTATTTACTTTCATTAGCATTTGGGTGTAAAGGCTATCTAATTAACTTTTGCTTCCTTAATCCCTTTTCAAATCACTAACAATGGCCTTGATACTATCATGACTTCCTTGTATTAGGGCAAGAAAACTGCTGCTAAGGTTGTTTTTGTCGAGAACATTTTTATCTTCTCAATACAAGGGAGCAATAAATCACTAATTACATATTAGCCCTTAGTTGAGCCATTTGCCTCTTTTCTGGCTAGAAATATCATCTACGGATAAATCACTTGCTAAGTTTGATTTCTTCTTCCTAGTGGTTGATTTACAAATTGAAGAAAAAAGAAATAATTAAACAGTGTTTTGGCAGTGACAGTATGGTTGCAGATAACTATATTTTCCAAGAATTTTCTCTTTCCTTCTCATTTTGTATATATCACTGCCAACAAATTATTTGATATTTCTTAAATGTAGTTATTGAAATGTAGACTTTATTATTAATTACCTTATTATCTGTATGTATTAGACAAAACAATAGTTTAGTCTTCAATGTTGACTTCTTTTTTGTTTTCCTCTTCACTTCTTTTTTGTTTTCCTCTTCCCTTTTTTTATTTTTTTATTTTTTTATTTGGTACATTAATGTTGGCTTCTTTGTCAACAGGAAATCATCTTCTAAAAGAAATCATAATACCTGAACCTGAGATTACAATCACAGAAAAGGAAGCTGAAGATGAGTTCTTAATTCTTGCTTCAGATGGCCTATCGAATGTATTTTCGGATGCTCGAGCTTGTGAGATAGTTAGCTCCTATCTTAGGGATGAAACTTTGAATACTACTCCTAGATGTCGTGATGAAGGTCGCTCGGTAAATGAAGAAATGGATCCAACAATGTTTCCTGCTAAAACAACAGTAGCAGCATCTATACTCACCAAGCTTGCCTTACCTTAGAAAGGGGAAGCCAAGATAACATAACCATCATAGTCGTCGATTTGTCAAAGAGCTGATGAGGATTGTGCATGGAGTGTGATGTTTGAACTAAGAAAATTCGTTTTTCATTATATTTGATGTATGCTAATAACGTCTTGGGATATAAGTTGTGAATTTTCAATTAATTATAATGTTATTAGATGCTTTGTTTAAGCTAGGGAAATAAAATGGCATTGTTTAGGGAGGATTACAAATTGCTTGTAAAAGCTAATGACAACTACGTTTATGTTTCTAAAATTATGTTGTTGTGTGATTGTTCATTTGATCATGAACATTTTGAAAGAAGTTTATCATTATAGAACAATTATGCATTAATTTTTATATACCCATGCTAGTTTTCGAGTAGCTTACTCATATACACTTTTCTTTACCTTCTTCAAATGTAAAAATTTAATCAACTGTGTTTAAGATATCACTTTTCTAATTCAAAGTACTATTCTCTCTATCCCAAAATAATTTTCCTTCAAGCATTTGTAGACAATTTAAGTCTTTTTTTACCTATATTACTCTTTTAAAAAAATAAAGGTAAAAGAAAATTTTGGAGATAAGGTGGACATTTAAGGTTGTAATGAAAATCATACGGTTAGAGTAGGAGAAAGTTTTTGTTCACTTTTAAAGAACGAAAAAATAACAATGTATTAAGTACAAATTTTGAGATAAAAAGCAAAGTTATTTAGGGATAGAGGGAAAAAGAATTTATCTCTCTCTTTTTTTATCAAAAGAAAAACCAAAATAC